TCATGATTCCCAGCATCAGACAGTGGACTTGGTACATTCTCAAACGTTTCGCCGGCATTGTATTCGGCATCTTCAGTGAGGTTCGTCCTTCTCAGCATCAAGCTACGAACCCGACAAAGAGACATGTTAAGTCAATCCCTCGACAAACGTTCTTTCGAAAACGGTTAAACTATCACAACTCTTTCTATCCTAACATATCTATCTACTCTTTACTCTCTTATCCCACTGCCGCCCTATCACAACTTCTGACTTGTTTACATTCCACTGGTTAAAATATGTGCCATTTTATAGCAAATTTAGTGTGGCCTAATCAAACCTGCTGTTCACGTTGCCCCCCCTTACGATCGGCTAATCCGTCTCGGGCCTCCTATCCGGATCCGCGTCATGGTCCCATATATCCGTTTCTGATCTTTTTGATTGACTGATTTCATTCTGTTCCAATCCAAGTGTGCTTCTTACTCCAGGCGCTATTTCTCAAGGCACTAGAAGCAAGTACACTGCCGATTCACTGAGCAGAGCGCCTAAGCTCTGATTGCCATGCTTGTAGATATCAGGCCTTCCCTTGACGAGTCCTCTCCTTGATTAAACCTGTGTAATCTGAGTAAACAGTGGAAGGACTGGTAGTAGAATTTTCCCACAATGATATGAGTAGAGCTGACATTTCAATTGAATTTCACATAGGCTTGCTTTCCCGAAAGTTGTTCTCATCCCGGCTAAAGTGGAATGCAGTTTCGACCTCGCATTGGTCTTATTAACACCCCCAGCGGAAGTCGAACCGTGAAAGTGCAGAATGTGAGCTTAATACGTTAACCCCTAGGCCACATCACTTTAAACAAAATAGGGTGAATACATCTCATATTACTGTTTTACTAATAGTCTCGAAACTCTACTTACATACGAAAAATAAGTAGCATAGTCGATTGTTATAGCAAAAATATATTTGCTCCATCGACAATGGGCAAAGGCCTGGCCTTCCTTGAAATTCACATCTGTCCTCTGACCCAAGGGCATTCGTTGCAATGTAGCCAAGTTGTTAACATGTCAAGCTCACATTCTGCACTGTCAAGGTTCGACTCCTGCTGGGGGTATTAAAGAGGCCTATGCGAGGTTGAAAATGTAGTCCACCCTGGATGAGAACAAGTTTTGGGAAAGCAAGGCTATGTGAAATTCAATGAAAGCATCAACTCTACTCATATCATTGTGGTAAAATTCTAATACCAGTCATTCATCATCTGAAACGAAATAGAGTGGATACATCTCAAAATAATTAGAACAGCAAATGAAAGCTCTGTTCTCGGTCATCAAGGTTTAAAGAACACAATCACTACCTCTTTGTTCATATTTTAACCATCACTCCGATCGCAAAATGTCGGACACATTTTTGGTTACATTTATGGACTTTTTCATCTTTATGTGAGGGAGAAATAATGGAATAAAAGTACAATGATCCTGATTAGAACCAAGAAAAGAATAGACTAATTGAGTAGTTTCCTTTTTGCAGGTGACTATCAATTAAGCACAAGTATTTTTTACTTAACTTCTTGCCAGTTTTCCTTACATTCATTGTATTCCCTATTCGGTTTATTTAGATGGCCTCTCTAATTATACGTTTAGACGCAGACACTATAATCAGCAAAACGTGAATTTTAAGACTATTCATCTAGTTTCCAGTTTCTGCCTTGTGCTCAGCCTACTCTGGTTTTTTAGCCTAACAACCACTTTTCTACCCAGCCACCCTTTGCCGACAGGGACGACAGGTCTCTCCAACACATAAGCTACCACATGAACATATTATGTTATTACAAATTGATCTAGATAATGAGTCTAAAAGTGGGCATAAATGAATAGAGTGTATTATTTTGCCTGAAAATTATTTTATTCTCCACTTCCTTACTATCCTTTTAAAGTGAATGTTCGAGTACAAAGACAAAACATCTCTCCTTACGTATTCACCATTCAAAAAGCTATTCTTTATTAATCCAATGTTATCTTAAATCCGGCCTAGGGGATAATTATTCTCAAGAAATATTAGTTTTAGTCGATCCAGTTCATTATCACAATGTTCTCTATCGGCTAGGCTTATGCTCCGGATAATCATAGATTTTAAAACTCCAACTATTGTTTATAACTATGGTTGGAGTAGAAATTAAGGATAAAGCCAGCATGTGTCGGCTTTTTATATACATCCATGCTTAACTTCTCGCTTGCTCTGATCACTAAAACATCCAAAAATATAAATTATTGTCCTTTTCTATCTCCATTGTAAACTTAATATTACAATAATTATGGTTAATTAAGAACAAAAAATTAGCTAAACTATCGTTACCATGCTGCCCTATGGCAAAGTAGTCATCCATCTATCTAGCTAATAGTATTGGTTTCAATATTACCACTTCCATGAAGCGTTTCTTCATCCTTAACATGCAATTATTCGTTAAAATGGGTGCCAAACAAGATCCCATGGCTAGGCCTTGCATCTGTTTGTAGAACCTATCATTAATGGAGAACTATGTGCTACCCCTTAATTTGTTATCATGTCGACATCTGTGAATCTTATCCTTTATTTTTCGCAATAAGTATTGTTTCGAGACTACCAGTAAATCAGTGAATAAGATGTATTCACCCAATTTCGTTTAATGTAATGAAGGACTAGTAGAAGAATTTTCCCATAATGATATGAGTTGAGCTGACGTTTCCATTGAACTTCACATTGCCTTGCTTTCCCAAAAGTTGTTCTCATCCCGCTGAGGGTGTTGATAAGACCGATGCGAGGTCGAAACTGCAGTCCACTCCAGGCGGGATGAGAACAGCTTTTGGGAAAGCAAGGCTATGTGAAATTAAATGGAAGCGTCAACTCAACTCATATCATTGTGGGAAAATCCTTCTTCTTTCAGTCCTTCATCACCTTAGACGAAATCGGGTAAATGCAATATCATAATCTCATCCTTTCTACCAGACCGTCCGCCATACTCTATAATTTGATAAAGTCTTCTTGAGAAAATAGCAGAGAAAGGGATTGTCTAGTTTTTGTTTTAGTCCTAATCAGGTCATGTAATTTGTCTGTACTTTCTTTTAGTCTAGTATTAAGCAAACCATTGATACCTGTTTCAGTATCTTATTAGTGGAAATAGGCAAACCTGCACGCATACTGAGAAAACAATAAAATATTCCTCGAAACCTAACTTTTATTTGTACAAAGTTAATTATATTAAAATAATAATAATACTATTAGTGTGTATTGAGGAAGGAGCCATTAATAATTTATTCCAGTCTCCTGCTAATATACAAGGCATTAATAAAAAAACACTGCAATCGGTTTTAGCTGATTATACGCAGCAAGGAAAAGAGTGATCAATATAAATGAGTAGCGAAAGTTGTAAATAAAGCATAGTAATATATTTAGACTCAATCACGCATTCCATAGGTTGAATTATTTAGAAAGGCTATAGTCACTGGAACTTAAAGTGAGAGGAACCCTATACCGTCTGGAATATGATCTTATAATATGAGCGATGCGTTAGGGAGGAGTATATCTAAGACATTTAAGTATGCTTGAACTTTGAGCAGCAGTCTAGAGGAAGTCCATAGTAGTGTGTCTGGTTAACTGTAATCTACTTTATTGTCATGATATGTGATTATAAGGTTTTTTGGTGTGGCTGCTTCGAGAATTTAGTTACCCTAGGTAGTATAGAATGATTTAAAGTCTGGTGCTCTGAGTAGGCCGCACGAGGCTAATGAATTTCAATGTCGTTTGAGTCTCGTCAGTGTTAGATAAGGTGGATTGAAATTCTATGGCATTATGAAACCTAGTTATATAATCGTTGGAAAAACCCATCTATCAGTTGTTAAGTTACCGTAGACGACCAGGGCGACTAAGTACTCATAATTCTTTTTCTCTACCATTTTTGAACATTTAATCAGACTAGTCGTTTTACATGCAAATGAATATGTAAACATTTATATTTAGAATTATTAGGTGTCGATTTCGAATAATAGCTCCTGAATAAGGTGACATAGGGTGATAAGGGGTGATAATTGAATCTTTCGACAATGATTTAAGTAGATCTTACTATAGCATTGAATTGCAGATAACCCAAAGGATATTCCCAGATAGGATTGTGACTTGAATCTCGCCTAGGTCTCATCATCATCCACCCCGGATCATGGGTGTAAACCTCCGACATGTAGTCACATGTGTGCCAATGTATCAAAGAGCAGAGGTGACTTTCAAGGCAACTTGGACCTCTCTCATATCGCATTTATAGTGGGATCGTTGATGATCCGAATATGTATTTCGTAACTACAATCAGCTACGCTACTTATATTGAAAATTAATAAGTTCTGAGATTATCAGTATATCCTCAAAATGAGCTGTAGTCATCCTAGGTCACATAAGCTGATGAAGGGCTAATAGTTACATTAGGTCATAATGATATGAAGAGGCCTAACAATGTCTACAGCTTAAAGTTAAGAGCTACTGCTAGTCTCGAAATCTCTTACTCTAAATGACGTAATCGATTGTAAAGCAACATACAAGTTTGCCTCAATGACAATCATATCATAACTGTGACATGGGAGAAGCCTGGCTAATCATGAAATTCACATCTATCCTGTAGTCAACTGACAACCGTTGCTGTGTGGCGTAATGGTAACATGCCGGAAATATACACTGCACTATCCGGGTTAGATTCCTGATAGGATTACTGATGCGACCCAGACGAGGTCGGAACTGGAAGATAATATCTTTTTGGAAGCAAAGTTAAGTCAAATTAAATGGAATCGTAAGGCTCCTTAATATACTTGCAGGAAAATTCAACTATCAGCCCTTCATTACCTTAGGCAATCTATAGTGATAAGATCTCTTATTTACAATATTCAGAACAAATCTAACTTTCATTTCATTGAATGATGGAAAAATCATTATCAGTCCCAAAAAATATCATGTGGAGCAGATACGCCAAAACCCCTCTCCTTTTGGTCTGTTTTACTGATAAAAAAAGATGCAGACCTACCTGATTACCAAAGACACCGGCGGCGGTAGCCGAGGCCACCTCTTTTTCTGCAAACCAAACTGCAGCCAGTTGGGCAGGGAGGCCAAGAATGAATACTTGCGCCACAGCACAGAGAGTTTGAGCGAATAACAGCAATGGAAACGCCCAAACGTCTGCCCATCCAGCAGAAGAGGGCATCGATTCAGTAGTAGATTCCATTCCTATAACGCTAAACCCTTTGTTGGTACCCACTGCAAGAGAAGATTCACGGGCACCAAAATGCTCCTCATTTGTCGTGTTAAACAGCAATAATTGATGAAATAGTAAAGAAAGTCCCTCAACTTCAGGCCCCGAGCTGGAGAGGGTAAATGGAAAATGTGGCATTAAGAAAAAAGGGTGGAAGATTTAGCCCAATTGAAATTTGGTAGAGGTTAATTTAACAATACCATGAATCATTTGTATTAGGTAGTGATCACAACTAGCCTTTGCAGAAAAAGGATTAATTCATATTTTCGCGCGGGTTTTTTAATGAATGAAAAAGTAGATTCAGCTCAATAAGAAATCTGCATGGACTATGACGAAGGGAGGCTCAGAGGGAAATCAATCTAAGTTTATGATGAATTAGTGTGAATTTAAGGCTTTTACAATAATAAGTTCTAGCTCTGAAGATGTCTGTCAAGTTGCCCGTTTTCACTGGAAATGAGGGAGGATATCTCGTGAACGGCGCTAACTTAAACGTCGGCTGCATAACAACACAAACTAATTGCTGTATTCTGGTGGAATCTATCTACAGATCTCTTCGTCATGCACTTTCGTACGGAATTAAAGTCTCTATAATTAAGCTATCACGTCAACCCATAGTGGACCACTTATCCCTTAGGCTTTATAAGACCAAGATGACTTACGATGACCAAATACGCTTAATCGTTACCAAGAAAGTAGTTCAAACAACGTTTTTTAGTGTAAAAGAAAGTAAGAGTAGATGGTATAAACCGGAGCCGTATCAGTGAAGAAAATAATTTTGGCCATACACTCAAATAACCCCAATACCTTAATTTCCACACTTACCAAGTTGCATGCTTTAGCAAGTCTTAGTAGCCAGTGCTAATGGTAAAGAGATAATTCGAATAATTTAATCGTGTTAAAATTTTTAATTCGATTAAATTCTGTGGCTGTATGCTGTTAAAATATTCTAGCACTTCTCTATGCCAAGTTTCGTAATCACTAGGCTCTCCTTCTTTATCATTTATTTATAATTTCTCATTCCACTACTGTTGCTCCATGAATTTATCAGCCCAAAAAGCCTGTATATTTTAATGAAGCTGATGGTTAGTATAGATTTGAGAGTATAACGCCCTAATCCACCCTCCGCCCAATCTTAGCATTTTCGTACACAACCAAATACATCAATAAAATGGGTGATGAGATGCGAAAACTTGTCATCTTGTTTTGACTGCAAAAATAATGGTTATGATATTATTTACAACCTTGTCCTTTTAAAGCCTGAGAAGCTAGTAAATCATTAATGGATGTAAGAGTGCAAGTTCCATTCGTGAAAGAAGGACAACTCTGGTCATTTCGGCCCTGCCAAAACAGCTCTAGGAGTGTTATGTTCAAAAGCACTACGAATTAAAACGGCAAATCAGTTCACATGTGAACGAAATGTCTAGTTAATATAGATACATTTCAGCAATAGATTTAGAAATCTGGTTATGGTAAGTAGTCACAATAGTCTCGCTATAAAACATATCTACATATGAAGTAAACCCGCATTTTGTGAAAAGAGCGGTCTTACTCGATTCAGACCTCAGTTCATCTGCCGACTGCCTAAAGCAACTGCGTTCTTGAACTCCAGAGAAAAGCTTCTTAGAAGACCTACCCGGGGAAACTCAAACCAGAACCATCTAAAAAAAAGACTTTCCTCTGGCTTCACTTGATTAGTAAGTATCTCCTTTTAATTAGGACGCAGTTTGTCAGGAAGCACAAAAGCCATGCCGATGAGTCGTAATTGTCGATATTCTCGAAACGAATTAAAGAGACTACTTCATATTTCTATTAAATTTTACTATTCCAATTACCGTGAAAGGGGATTCAATCTTAGGCATACGGCAATTAGAGCCCGTCCAGTATCTTTTTGTCGCTCTTCAGGAGGCACGGTTTCAAATGCAGACACGTCATCTCGTGCAATGTGTGCTTCTTAAAAACATTTTTCAAACGCCTAAACCACAAATTGACCACTGATCCTTAAAAAGCGATTATCTGCTACTTTCGGAATAGCTATACACAAGTGCCGTATTATTGCTAAAAAAGTTGAGGTTAGTCTTTTAAATAAATGTAGGGCATTGTGAAGGTTAGTC